TATATATATATATATATATATATATATATATATATATATACCACATCTTCTTTATCCATTCATCTGTCCATGGGTATTTAGGTTGCTTCCATGCATTGGCTATTGTAAATAGTGCTGCAAAGAACATTGGGGTGCATGTATCTTTTTGAATTAGAGATATATGCCCAGGAGTGGGATTGCAGGATCATATGGTAACTCTGTTTTTAGTTTTTTAAGGAACCTCCATACTGTTCTCCATAGTGAGAACATTCCCACCAACGGTATGGGAGGGTTTCTTTTTCTCCACACCCTTGTTAGCATTTATTATTTGTAAGGGCTTAGTATTGTGCTAGGCCCTGAGTCTGATGAGTTAACTAAAAATTTAAATGTAGATTGGATAGCTAGGTTTATCACTGAGATGATGACAATGGAGATTTGGGCTGTCAGGCATGAGTAGGATTTTGTCAGGAGAGAGACTTTCTGAGTTTCAGAAACAGCATGTGCAAAGGCACTGGGGCACAAAAGACCCTGCCATGCTCTAGGGTATCTTGGGCTTGGGACAAGGCAAGGAACTGGATACCAGGAGATGAAAAAAGAAGGCAGAGGTCAGACCATGCAGGATCTTTGAGGCCACCCTAGAGTCTAGACGTGAGCAGAGGCAGGGGTGATGCAGCAGGCTCACTCTGCAGTCATTGAGATGCCCAGTGGGGATGGGGGTGGAGGGACATGGTTCAGTGGTCCATCTAGAGGCCTAAAGAAATTTCAGACAGCACAATGATTAGCACCACAGGGTTTGGAGCCAGTCCGACTTGTGTTCAGGTCATGGTACTGCTCTTAAGAGCTATGTGACTTGTGCAAGCTTCCTCATCTGTAAGAGGAGAGTCGCGGCCACCTGTGCATAGAGTGGCTCTGAGGATCGAATGTGTGCAAAGCACTCAGAACTGAGTTTTGAGGGGTAGTGAGTCCTGGGTTTGTGTTGACTTTGGTGTCAAAAGAGAAGGTCAGCAACAGCTGTGGTGGGAGGGTCAGAAGCTGGGGAAGTGAGAGGGTCACAAATGACCCAGGCCTCTAATTGGGGTGATAGGATGAAGGATGAATCAGGCAGAGAAGGTTATCGAGAGATGAGAGATTGGAAAGGAAGACAGGTCAGACATGCAGAACCGTGTTGGCCAGGCTAGAGTCTGGACACCAGGGTGTGAAGTTGAGGTCAGAAATGGGGGATAAACCGCAGGGTTTGGCAGGGTGAGAGGGATAAGAAAACCATATTTTTGCACAGACTTTTGCTAAGCATCCACGTTATGTCTGACTCTCTGTGTAGAGTATCAGAGATTCAAAGTGAGAAACCCACGCACCCGACCCACCTCTAACTGAGGGTCAGAAAGAAGCTGTGTGCTTAGAGAGAAGTCCGCAGGGGTGGGGTGGGGTGGGGGCAACTGGATGAGGAGTCCCTAGCTCAGCACCTCGAGGGAGAATCTGGAAGGTCTTCAGGAAGAGGTGAATCCTGAGCAACGTCACAGTAGGAAACAGGGGAATTCCAGGCTTTGACAAGGAATCCGTACTGTTTTGGACAAGGTGAAGTTGAGGCCCCCTGAAGGGAGAAATGTGTAATCAGTGATTGCAGTCTGAGTCTAGAACTCAGGAAAAGTGAGAGTAAGAAATAGAGATTGGAGGGTCTCCTGCGGTCACAGCCACAGGCTTGAAAGCTCCAAGGGGGCAGAGACTGTGTATGTTCATCACTATCTCCTCCGCCCCTAGCACAGTGCCTGGCCAGTACCTGGGGCTCAACATTTTCTTTTAACTTTATCATAGAAATATATGCATGTGGTTAAATAGTACTGAAGAGCTTATTCAGTGATGAGAAACAAGAATCCCCTATACCACACACCCCCAGCCTCACTCCTCAGAGCAATCACTCTTGTTTCATGTGAACAGTTTTTCTGCCTAGTTACCTTCTTATCTCTCTACAAGCTCACAGGCTTTTTCTTGGTTTATCAGCTCTAGACATTACCACTTTCTTGCTCTAATGGCACCACCCTCCCCCATCCTCCCAACTTCAATTGTTTTTAGATATGCTGATAACTTTTGTAAATTTAATATACTTATATCTTTATTTTTTTCATCAACTTTAGAGAATATTTTTTGACACCACACATAGTAAGATGAAGTTTTTAGTGACCCTACCTTTCCCTTCAGCTTTCCTCCCTGCCTTACACCTCCCAAAGCCTCTAACCTGTATTTCTATTTTTTTAATATCAAGGTTGGTGACATTCATATTGTCCCATAGCCATAATTATGTTTTCCAAATTTTGTTTATATATTGATCCTAAAAGTTGCAAGTTAATAAACAGGATTTACCTTATTGTGACTACATAACAACTGTTCACTACAGGGCCAGAAAAGGTACCACAACTACCTTTTCTTTCTCATACAGCTTTTTGTTTTTCCTGGAGTTTTTAGTGGCCTTTTCCTCGTACTCTTTGCTTTTATTATAGTCCTGTTTTCTTCAACCTCTACATCTAGCCAACTACCTTGTCAGGTCTTCTTTATTTCAGAGAAATTACTGCCCAGGATCCTCTATTCTCCTGCACAAATGTGTACTGGTTGTAGGCCTCTATACAGTTAACATCTGGGACTTAGCTTCTTTCCGGGAGTGGACACACTATTTCATTCCTGACTCTCTTGTTTTACACCTTTATTTTGCTTTAGCACATCCTCAAATAACTTCCCACCCCCCAGAAAAAAAAAGAGGAGGTAAATTTTCTGAGTTTTCCATGGCTGAAGTGATAGTTGAGCTGGATATAGAATTCTAGGTTAAAAACCATTTTCCTCAGAAATTTTAAAGACAAGCTTTGTTGCTAACTCTGCTGCCAGTATGATTCTCTCCCCTTGTAGGTGACTTGTTTTTCCACTTAGAAACATTTAGGAATCCTTTGTTCTTGGTGCAATGAACTTTTACAACAAAGATCTTTTGACATCTGTAGTGCTGGGCATTCAGTAAACCCTTTTAAGCCAATGACAACCTTCAGCTCAGGGAAATATTGATTTCTCTTTTCTTCTCCATGTTCTCCATTCTTTCTGAATCCCCTTTCTATAACCCAGAATTAGATTTCCTTTTAACTTTATTTTATTTATTTATTTTTGGCTGCATTGGGTCTTCATTGCTGCACGTGGGCTTTCTCTAGGTGCAATGAGCGGGGAGCTGCTCTTCATTGCGGTGTGCAGGCTTCTCATTGCAGTGGCTTCTCTTGTTGTGGAGCACAGGCTCTAGGTGCGTGGGCTTCAGTAGTTGTGGCTCGCAGGCTCTAGAGCGCAGGCTCAGTAGTTGTGGCACACGGGCTTAGTTGCTCTGCGGCATGTGGGATCTTCCCGGACCAGGGCTCAAGCCCGTGTCCCCTGCATTGGCAGGCAGATTCCTAACCACTGCGCCACCAGGGAAGCCCTAAATTTCCTTTTGATCCTTTTCTCTCACATTGTCTTGATATTTTGGTTCTACTTTCTAGGAATATTCTCTGTATTTTATTTTCCAATTCTATTTGCCAAAAAGCTCTTTCTTTTCTTAATTCTTTTTAAATAGTATCCTGTTCTTGTTTTCTGGATGCAATATATATTGTTGGATATCTTCATTTCTGAATCTCTGAAGATGATTAGAGTTTTTAAGTTTCCTTCAGTTTCTCAAATTACCTCTCATACTCTGGAGTGCTTTTTTCTCTTGGTCTGTCACTTCTATGTTAGCAGTTTTCTCAAATGCCTGGTGATGCTTGGTTGTTCATGTGTAATAGTGAAATCATAAAAAGCTGATTGGGAACCTATGACTTCAGGAGCCTATTGCCTGGCAGATGTCACTTTAGTGTGACCAGACAGGAATCAGACATATCTCTGGCTGGTTCCAGAAGACCAACAGGGCTTCCCTGGTGGCGCAGTGGTTGAAAGTCCGCCTGCCGATGCAGGGGACATGGGTTCGTGCCCCGGTCTGGGAAGATCCCACATGCCGCAGAGCGGCTAGGCCTGTGAGCCATGGCCGCTAAGCCTGCGCATCTGGAGCCTGTGCTCCGCAACGGGAGAGGCCACAACAGTGAGAGGCCTGCGTACCACAAAAAAATAAAAAAAGAAGAAGACCAACAAAATTGATAAATCTCCAGCCAAAATGAACAAGAAAAAAAGAAAGACAAAAATGACTAGCATGAGGAACGAAAGAGGTGACATCACTACAGATTCTTTAGATATGAAAAAGATAACAAGGGAATATTAGGAACAAATTGTGCCAATAAATTTGACAACTGAGGTGACATGGATAAATTCCTTTAAAAAAAATTACAAACTCCAAAAGCTGACTCAAGAAGAATAGATATTGTGGGGATGGGTAGTGTTGGTTGCATAACAATGTGAATGTACTTAATACCACTGAACTGTATACTTAAAAATAGTTTTAAAAGGGCAATTTATGCTATGTATATTTTACCACAATAAAAAAGAAGAAATAGATAGGCTAAATAGCCCTGTATCTATTTTTGAAAGTTGAATTTGTAATTAAAAATCTTCACACAAGGAAACTCCAAGCCCAGGTCCACAAGCTTCATTTGTGATTTCTACCAAAAATAAGAAGAAATAATATCAATTTTACACAAACTGTTTCAGAAAAATTGAAGAGGGGATACTTCTCAACTCATTCTATGAGGCCAGCATATCAAAACCTAACAAAGACATAATAAGAAAAGAAAATTACACACCAATATACCTCGTGAACATGTATGTGAAAATCCTTTTTGAAAGTTAGCAAATCAAATTCAACGATGTATGAAAAGATAATACATCATGATCAAATGAGATTTGTCCCAGGAATGCAAGATTGAGTTAACATCTGAAAAAATCAATTTAGGGCTTCCCTGGTGGCGCAGTGGTTAAGAATCCACCTGCCAATGCAGGGGACATGGGTTTGAGCCCTGGTCCGGGAAGACCCCACATGCCGCGGAGCAACTAAGCCCATGCGCCACAACTACTGAGCCCACGTGCCACAACTACTGAAGCCCGCACGCCTAGAGCCTGTGCTCCACAACAAGAGAAGCCACTGCAATGAGAAGCCCACGCACCACAATGAAGAGTAACCCCCACTCACCGCAACTAGAGAAAGCCCGCATGCGGCAATGAAGACCCTACACAGCCATAAATAAATAAATAAATATTTTTTAAAAATCTATTTATTTCACCATAAACAAATTATAAAAGAATTATTAACAGAATAATATGTAACATATGTTAACATAGTATATGCTATATATAACTTACATAATATATTAACAGAATATAAAAGAAAAACCATATGATAATCTCAATAAATTCAGAAAAAGCATCAGATAAAATCCAACATCCCTTCCTATATTTAAAAATTAAGTAAAGTAGGAATAGAAGGGCACTTCCTCAACCTGATAAAGGGCATCTATGAGAAAAATTATAACATTATACTTCATGGTGAAACACTGAATGCTTTCCCCCTAAGCTCAGGAGCAAAGCAAGGATGTCCACTCAATTCTCTTCAACATTTTACTGGAGATTATTCTCAGTGCAATAAGGCAAGGAAAGGAAATTAGAGACATCCAGGCTGGGAACGAAGAAGTAAGACTGTGTTGAGTCACGAACGTTATTGTTTACATAGAAAACCCTATGGAATCTAAAAAAAGTTACTAGAACTAATAAGATTTTAGGATGGTTACAGGATACGAGATCAATACATTTCTATATAATAGCAACCCAAAATTGGAAATTGAAATGATTTCACGCACTACAGAATATCACTTGAATCCCTAATAGAACATCCCCAAGTTGGGTACAGAAGCCCCGAGTTGAATCAACCTCAGACTTTTGCTTCCATCCCCCAGCGCTGCAATGAGGTTTACACCATAATAATTTCTCCCCTTCTATCCATATCCAGTTGCTGTTTATGGAAGGGTTAAGGCTGCAGGTGTTGATTAAATTTCCCAGGGAAACTTTGTAAAGCAAGCAAAAGAAGGCTCTGACGTCAGAAGCCTGAGGAACAGCAGCACTTGGGGCAGGTAGAATTGCAGAGGAAGAGAGACGTGGGGAGAAAGCCAAGGGATGGTCGAAGGAAGCATGGTGGTCAAGGAGGTGATGGGTTCTGAAGAGACCACTGAGCCCACCACTGTGAGCCTGTCCCTGGTGTACTCTTAGCCCAGCACTCTGGATCCCAGGCCCAGGCTGAACATGGAGGAAGCCAAATCCCAGGAACAGCACCAGCCATTCAAGGACACTCTCCAGCCTCTACATCTCTAGGGAGAGGCCACAGCACATTCTAATCCTTCTGGTTTAATCCTGGGAGCAATTCTTCTCAGCCACAGCCAAGGCTGTCACTTCCTGCCACACTCCGGGCTCGTAGGGATTCAGCTTGCCCATTGCCATGATGGCCCCACCAACAACTTCTATCCAGTACGCTGGGGAGCAGAGAATGGGACAGCCTGGTGGCCTCTACCCCCAAAAGATGAAAAAGAACCTTCTGCAATAAAAGATACAAGCTTCCAGGAAGGGGACTGGGGTGGGGCCGGGGGGGCTCCCCCAAGGAGTCAGTCTCTCCTGCAGAGGAGGATTGGAGCTCATAAATAACCAGATGGGTGTCACCTCAAATTAAGCACCGGGGGTAAGAACTCTGGCCCAGAGTTGGAGATAGATGACCCCAGGGTGTGATGGTGTAAGAAGCCAGGAGAAGAGAGGACAGATTTCAGGGCAGGAGAGGCCAGGGTTAGAGTGAGTGGCAAATCTGAAGCCTGGCCAGAGAGAGTGGAGAAAGGGGGCAGAGGGGCAGGAATGGAGAAAGGTGAGGTTCATCTGGGGTGTGATGGGGAACCCCACACAGTTGTAGGCTCCAGGGTAGGACGGCATGCGGGACAGGGGAGTAAAGAGTTTCTTGAGTGAAATCTGCATTCAGGTCCTGACTTCCTGAATGATCAGCTGAGGGACTTTGGGCAAATGAACCTCTTCTCATTTTTTGTGTTGATTCAATGAGCTAAAGCATATAAAGTGCTCCTCACAATACCTGGGCTAGAAGCCCTCAATGAACGGAAGTGACCGCTGTTAGTACTCACCCTAATGGAGGACAGTGATGGATAACAGAAGGTGGAGGGAGCAGACGTGGAGGATAGGGCTGGTGACCCTGGCAAGGATGGGCGAGGGGACAGCACATGGGCTTAGGTGAGGGACAGGGAGGGAGCAGGTGGCTGGAGCAGCCCCTCCAGCCTGGGCTCCAGAACCCCTCAGGGACTGTCCCCGCCTGCAGCTCCCCTGCCCTCACCTCCTTCTCCCTGCCAGGTGCCAATGGATTTCCCTGCTGTGACAAGGAGTCGGTGGACATTGTGGATACACAGTGAGAACTAGTCCCCCCCATCATCGTAGGACCTCTCCCCAACCCTCCAAGATCACCAGCCCTCACCAGCTGCCATGGCTGTGAGGTTTTCATGTGTACCCACCCAGGATCTCCCTCTATCTTGCGCGTTTCCAAAATCTCCCCAAGGGCAGTATCCAGGCCAAAAGGCAGCAGGGGGTGGGAGTACTATCCTCCTCTGCTTCTGCCCCCAGCCCCTGACGTTGGAGGAGGACTGAGGGGTGGTGGGGCACACCCAAGACATGGATGGGACCTGACCCCTTAGAGCTGCCTTTCTCTGAGGACAGAGCTGTCCAAGGGAAGGGTGGGCAGTTGCCTAAGGAAGGAGAGGGGTCACAGTGGGCTGAGCACTGGGGGCAACAGCCAAGATGACAGCAAAATACCAACAGGAACCAAGGGCACCCTCCATATACACCCCTGCATTTCAGATCTGCCAAGCTGAGACCCGGCAGGTCCCGGAGAGGGCGTTGCTCTGGGCTTTTCCCTCTGTGGGGAGCCGCTTTCAAGGGCACTGGCTCACTGGGATGCTGGATTAAAATGAAGATTCCTGGGCCTCACCTCCAACCAACTGTATCCCTCTTTTGCGGGTGGCGGGGGGCAACTTGGCCAGCTCTCTAGGCGCTTCCAGAACTCACTGAAGTTTGAGAATGAGTCTGGAATTTTTGGTGGGAGTGGGCACAGACAGGGGAGTGAGCTGAGGGCATCTTGCCAGCTCGTGTACAAGGCAGGGGGCCTTAAGGGCTCCAGACACCGTCCCCTGAAGCCACCCCATGGAGCCCTGTCACCCACTCTGTCTCCTTCTGTCTTAGGGGTGGCATAAACCAAAACCAGTTCCAACCAATACAAGAGGAAGATGACATGGAGGTAATAATGGGCAGCGTCACATCTTATGGGGAGGTGGGAGTCCAGGGGCAGGGCTCTTTGGGACCTGTCTTCTCTAAAGCCCGACCAGCCCCTACCCTGGACAATTCTGGGACCCTAGCACCAGGCCAGTGTCGGCATGAGCACACACACCCGCCCTCACCAGCTGCCCACACCACCTCCCTGCCCTAGGCAGGTCACTTGGAAGAGGCAAGTGTGGGACAGGAAGTGAGACGAAGCACGTGGGGGGCAGGGCAGGGAGGGGAGGACTTCGGGGGGCAGGCGCCTCCTCAGCTTTCTGTTGAAACCTTTCAGCTGGAGAAAGAATTGCTAGAGCTGGAGTCCCCAGACAAAAAGGTCCTGCGCCTAGACCCAGAACTGGAGCCGGAACGGAAGCTCAAGCCTTTCCCGAAGCCAGAGATGCGCCCGGTTGTCATGCTTAAGCCCGAGGCCAAGCTGGACACAGGGCCCAGGATGAAGGTGATTAACTTGGACCCCTTCAGTGAAGACCCTGAGCCGCAGGGGTATAAGACAGAGTCACTCCACCCCTACGTGGAAGGGCTAATGCAGCAGGACATCAGCCGATGGAGTATGAGGTCAAACTCCAGCTACCTGAGTACCACAGAGGAGGACCCAGTAACCACCGACCACCACTCCATCTGTGCGCAGACCTCCAGACACCTCTTCTGGGCAGACAAGTTCGTCCAGGCCTCAGAACACAGCCTGCAACAGGCAATCAGCATGCAGCCCATCAAGGAGAGCACAAAAGAGACCGCCTGCCACCCAGACCAGCCATCGGCCCCCAAGGACACTGTGTGCTCCAAGAAGCAGAGCCAGGCCCCCAGTGCCCAGCCAGCTCTTCCAGACAAAGTCTCCCAGCAGCCTCCAAGCCCCCAGCCGTCCCCCTCCCCACAAACCATCAGCCTGGCAGAGCTGATCAGCTTCGCATCTTCCCTGGCCATGGCCTCCTGCAGCAGGATGGACTTGCCCAATTTGGGGCATGTGATCAAAGCCCCACTCCAGATGGCCATGACGCCTTCCACAGAGCCCACTGTGGATCACACTGCCCAGCCCACCGTGGACGAGCCAGAGCAGGAAAACCTCACTCAGGATGCGCTAGAGAAGCCACCAGAGGAGCCACTAGAAACCAGGGAGCCGCAGGATGCTTCAAAGCAGGAAGACAAGCGCTTCCCTCACCCTTACACTGCTTTCAGCAAGCCAGGGTTCAAGAGGGCCACCATTGAAGGGGAGGTGAAGCTTATCCAGCCCCCAGACATGTCCCCTCAGCCGCAAGGAGCAGGGAAAGAGTAAGTGAGGCTGGCCCAAAGCTACCCCAGGAGGGGGCTGTGTTATGATGTGCAGGTGGCCCCTTTCCTCACACAGCCAGGTGGGGGTGGGGACAGTGGAATGAGGGACTGGCTGGGGGATGGGTGGGTTGTAATGTCTCAACCTCAAGACCTCAACCTGCTCCAGGGCAGGGACAAGGACCTGGGTTCAAAGAGGGAACTAGAATGTCGTCCTAGCGTTAGGAGGCTTCTCACCCAGAGCACAGACAGCCTCACCCTCACTGGAAATGCTCAGGCTACTATCTTTCCTACTGAGAACCCGACGGCCCCAGCTCTGGGCCCAGGACACCTCCATCAAGCCAGGAATGAGGAAACGGGGTTCCCCAGCACCCCGTGCTTCCTGGTGTCGAATGAACACAACAAAACACCAGCCGCCCATCAGCATGGCAGGAAGAGGCCCTCTTAGCCCCAGGGCCTTCCTCGGAGAGGCCTCTGGGCTCACCCCTCTCTTTTGACCTTCCCACCAAGGCCCAAGTGACACTCTCTCTTTTGCATTGCAGTTCAGGAGGGAGTCCATTATTGCTGAAAATCCATTTTAAGGTGTCATCCCCCACTTCCCCAGAGAAGACTAGACAAAACCAGTAAAGCCTACAGTGCTGGCCCCCGGCTCAGACATTTTGTGCAAATGCTCCTGGACCAGTGAACTCCTCTGGCTGCGGCATCCTGGTCTCAATTTTTTTAGGGATGCCACCCCCACTGTAGCTACCCCAGCAGCCCCTGCCCCCTGAGGGTTCTGCCAGCCCTATTTTGTGCCTGCTTACTCCCCATGGGTGGTCCCACTTCCCCCGCACCCAGCCGGACCTCCCAGCCAGCAGCAGACTCGTGACTAGGGGAGGCCTCAGTGGTGCCCTTTCTGAGGCTTCTGTTTCTTAGATGTAAAAGGGGGCATGTTGGGATCTCCTGAGGCGAGAACCTGCTGGGGGTGGGGCTGGGCAGGTGAGAAGGCTTCTGGAAGGAGTTCTTCCTGCTTCTCTCCATGGGGAAGGCCTGGCATGGGAAAGGGGTGGTGTCCAGGGCTTGAAGGAGGGCAAGAATGAAGCTAAAGGATTGGTCCTCCAGGGGCCACCACCTTGAGTCCGAGGTACCTCCAGCGTAGGGGAGAGCCCATGTGTAATGATGCACTTCTGCATGCAACCCAGACACACACACACACACACACACACACACACACACACACACACACACACACACCAGCAGGTGACCAGCATGTTACACATACAGATATTCACATGACATAGCCACATGCAGACCGAGGAAGCATGTTCCACACGTACCGTGCACACAGGCACACACAAACACAGTACCTGTGACCCAGACACATGCACACAAACGCACAAGCCTCCCCACGGCGGGGGAGGACAGGCAATGTGGAGAAGCTTCTGGAAGAGGAGATGGCAGCAAAGGAGGGAAGAGAACTTGGAGTGCGGGGATGGACATGGGCAGGAAGAGGGAAGTTGGGGAGGAAGAGAAGGGGAGGCAGCACCGAGGCTTGGGACCTGGTGAGCCCTGAGACCTACTCTGGGCCAAGGCTCCCGATGCAGTGAAATCTCCACCTTGCAGATCCTTAGAATCCTGCCCCACCTTGAGACGGGGCTGAGGAGGGAGGTGCCCAGGGCCTGGGAGAATGGGATTAGGAAGGGGTGAGCAGTTAAGAATGGGCCAGGGCCAGAGAAGGGGACAGGAGGCTGGAAGGAAGGATGAAGAGACCCAGAGGTGAGCGTCTAGGGAGGGGCTGGGCCAGAATGGTCATCTGGCTGTTGGGATGCATCTTCCCAAAGTATTTTGTTAATGTGGTTTGTGGGTTTGCATCATTTGGAGGAAGGGCTCCTGCCCTCCCAGGGGTCCTGGGGTAAGGTGGGCCACAGCCCCAACTTGGCTAGATCCCACCCTCCCACGCCTTGACTTGGGGCCTCTGGGGCCTGCTTCTCCCCTGGGCCTCAGCCATCCTGTTAGCTTCCAAGTGGAGTCACAAATTTACATGCCTTAAGGGAGGCAGAAACACAAAAGATGAAAACTGCAGGTTCCCCAGCAGAGAGGCGCAGGCCAGTGGTGAGGGAGAAGGGCGCCCTTGCCAAAAGTTGTTAAGATCCACCTGGAAGCCAGCATGGGGACTGTGGACCTGGGACACTGGACCGGCCTCTGAGCCTGTGACTGCCCTTCAGGCAGCAGAGGATGGAAGACCAAGATATCACCATCGGCAAAGAGAACGTCCAGGTGACGAGGGCAGGGGGAAGGTCCGCCACTCCTCCAAGCTACTGCCCCCGGAATGCCCCAGGGAGAGGACTGTGGCTGCCGGCTGGCGGGGGCGGCGCGGGTCCTGGGAGGGGAAGCTGTGCACCCACAGGTCTGGTCTCAGGTCCCCTGGAGTCTGGCACTCAAGTGGGCTGGGCCCTTCGGCCCTGTCTTCTCCCCGCCTCCAAGGCCTCCACAGAAGCCTCAAAGACTGCTCTCGCGAGACCCAGGAGAGGAGCAGGCTGGGAGGAGGCTGCAGCAGCGTGTACCCTGCTGACCCAGACAGAAGCAGCAGCGGCCACAGCCACGGGCTGAGCAGCCCTCCCAGGGGGCGAGGGAGTTCAAGGGCCTTGCAGCCACCCGTAGGATACAGACAGGCCCAAGCGCTGGGTCTGAGAAGTGAGAGCAGGGACTGAGGCCAGGCCTGGGGTGCTGGGTTTGGGGAAAGGCCTGCCTGGCCCTGGCATCTCTCTGCAGCAGGTACAAAAGCCTTTCCAGCCTCCTTCCCGCTAGGCGGCTTTGCAGACAAGAACCTGCTACCCCTGACACCCGGGCAGCTGGCAGGTGAGGGCCTCAGGGCTGGGAGCAGGGAGGAAAACTAGGGGGTGCTCGGAGCAGAATACAATGGAGTTGCCTGCCCAGAGGCTGGGGACACAGTGAGAAACCAGTGATTGTATTGTAACCTCTCCATGCCAGCCTAATTTGCTCATCTCTGCAATCCCAGGGCTTGTTGCTGTGTGTGTGTGTGTGTGTGTGTGTGTGTGTGTGTGTGTGTGTGTGAAGGAGGGAAGGAGGGGTGGGATTGGTGGATAGCAAGGTATTTGGATGGTGGATGGATGGATGGTGGATGGACGAACAGGATGAAAGGAATAAGGGAAACTGGGAGAAAGGATGGAAAACAAGAATCTGAGGTCCCTGCCCCGCTGGGGTTTGGAGCTGTGGGAGTAGGGGTAGAAGGAATCATTTCTACATTTGGGGGACCCAATGTCCCTACAATGTCCCCCAATGTCCCTGATACTGGCAGGGGCCCCTCAAAGCAGAATCATTCTATTCATCATCAATAATTTGCAGTGCCTACTACAGGCCAGGTGCCAGCAGGGCTCCTGGAGCCTCTCGGCATCGTAGCTCCAGAGCCAGACTGCCCGAGTCCAAAGCCCAGCATGGCCCCTACTGCTGGTGTGGCCTTGGACATGAGTTATTTTGTTGTTTGTTTTTGTTGTTCTTGTTGTTTGGGTTTTTTTTTCATAGGATCGCTAGAATGATTTAATATTTATAGATCCTTAGAATTGCAACAGATATACAGTAACATAGGGGTTAGCAAGCTACAAGTCTTGGACCAGGTCCAGCATTTGGCCTCTTTTTGTACTGCCTGTGAACTGAGAATGGTCATTACATGTTTTTTATGTTACATATATTTTATCTATTTATTTTTTTAACATCTTTATTGGAGTATAATTGCTTTACAATGTTGTGTTAGTTTCTGCTGTACGACAAAGTGAATCAGCTATATGTACATATAAAAAATATGGAACGCTTCATGAATTTGCGTGTCATCCTTGCACAGGGGCCATGCTAATCTTCTCTGTATCATTCCAATTTTAGTATATGTGCTGCCGAAGCGAGCATGTTGTCGTTGTTTTTAAAATATTTATTTATTTATTTATTTATTTGGCTGCACCGGGTCTTAGTCACGGCACGCGGGATCTTCGTTGCCACGTGCGGGAATCTTCATTGCAGCATGCGGGATCTTTAGCTGCAGCATGCAGGATCTAGTTCCCTGACCAGGGATCGAACCTGGGCCCTGAGTTCAATTTTTGGACATGAGAATTGAATGGACACTTAACAAGTGCCAACACACAGCAGCCACTGTTCTCCATTAAGTTATAAGGCACAGGGGGTTGGTGAACCCAAGTCCTCAGTCCCATCTGAGCTAGAGTGGGTGAATCTCAGGGTTCCTGTGCCTGTGGTTCACCTTGCCCACCTGCCCCCCTCCCCACCCTCAGCATTCCAGGATGTCTTCAAACTGTTCAGCTCCAGCCCGACAGGCACCATGGACACGCGCAGCAGAAAGCTGCCCAGTACCATGTGGGTGTCCAGCTAAGCCTGCAGGAGATGTGTGAGGTTCTACGGCAGGCAGACTTGGATGGTGGGTGACCCTGTCCCTGCCCTCCTGTCCTCTCCCACCTCTAGCCCTGAAGAACGCCTCCCTTGCCCACAAAATCCTGGGCCTGGTCCTATTCTAAAGTTCCCTCTTCCAGGAAGCCTGCCCTGATCAACACGCCTATCCCAGAGCCCCTAAACATTCCTGTTGTGATAATCATCCTGACTTGGGGCTCCCAAGGACAAGGGCTATTTCTCCCCCACTCACCCTGGGACAATGCTTGGCCAGAGGCAGGACTGGATGCTCTATGCCTCGAACTGCTAGCAAGCCCCTAACGCGTATGCAGAGCAGGGCTTTGGCAGGGGGTAGGCACCTACAGCACCCCCTCCTCTCTCTCATCCCAGGTGATGGAACCGTAAGCTTCAAAGACTTCCTGGGTGTCCTCACTGACAGCCACCGACTCGCTCAGTGCTTGGGTGAGGGGCAAGGCTGGTGGGGCAGGAGTGGACCTGGCCAGGGGGAGGCTCTTCCTTACCTGCCCCCATGTTCTCTGGCCCTAGGCAAGGTGAGGAACAGCTGGGTCTGTGATCCCCAGGGCTTGCAAACGCTCTTCTTAGAGATGCTGTTTAAGCTGATGAGTCTGGGCTTTGTGCCCTTCAAGTCGGTACAGGAGGTGATGAGGTGGGCACAACTGGACCCAGCTTCAGGGCCCAAGATGGGGGGAGCAGACTCTGCCCCTGCAGGAGTCCCCAGATGTCCCTGGCCCAGAGACGGGAGCCCTGAATTCTGGGTCAGTTTCCTGGGCCCCAACTTACCCCCAGACCAAAGTGGCTTTCTGTCCTGCTTTGGTTTCCCCACCGGTGAGATGGAGAGGACTGGGGGAGGCGCTGTCTGAGGCGGCTACCCACTTTCCTCCTTCCAGCCACTACTCCAAGAAGCAGCGGTCTCTGCGGCTGAACTCGAACTGGAAGGGCGGTCCGGCGGCCACGGCCGCACCTCGCGCTCTCAGGCGGGCCTCGCGATCTTCTGCCAGGCCGCGCACCTTAGCGGCCTTTTCAGGGCCGAGCTGGCGTGCTCGCTGCACGGACTGCACAAAGTGGGTGCGCCCCGGGCTGGGCGGGGACCTGCGGGACTGGGGACTCTCTCTCGGGACCCGCTCTCAGAACTGGCCGCTCCTTTTCCTCCTACCGGCTTCCTCGCCCCAGGTGCGCGCAGCGCCTACTCCTAGATACCTAACCTGAACGGGCGGACGCAGTCAGAATTCCACACGCGGAACCGAACCCCGCGCCCAGACGTCCGACTTCCCAAGTCCTACCAGCCCAGCCAACAAAAGCGCCGGCCCAACCGTGGGCGGCTCAGCCAAGGTGAAAGTCGAAAGAGGCAGGGCCAGCGGGCGGGGCCGGGTCATGCAGATAAGGTGCGGGCCATGTGAGGGGCGGGGCAGACAGACGGGGAGGGGCGGGGCAGGCGAAGAGTGGAAGAACTCCAAGAAATTGGGACCTGACTGGCGGAGATGCAATAAATCACTCTAGGGCGCGACTAAGGATACGGCGGGGCATAAGAAAACGAGGCCGGGGACCCAGGTAGGGGGCGGGACTGACGGAAATGGGGCGGGGCCGGCAGAAAGGTGGACTGAGGTGGAGCTAACCCTGCGTCTCTAACCCGAGCAGCAGGCTTCACCCTCTGCACGCCCCCTCCACGCTTCCGCAGGGTTCGTGGGCCAGACGCTAGGGTATACGCGCCCTTCGAAGCTGGCTCCCTCCCCCCCAACTCTAGTGCAGGAGCAGCCCTTCTCCCCCTCTCCAGCCTGTCTGCACAGACCTGCTATGAAGAACTTGTACAAGTAAAGCGTTTGTTGTGCTTGGTGGGGGCGGGCACGGAGCGGACGTAGATCTTTTGCAAACGTCTTTATTAATCTTGTATAAAAATAAGGTCCACGGAGAGTCCCCGGAGTTGGGGCGGGGTGGGGGGGGGGTGCCTCGAACTGCTAGCAAGCCCCTAACGCGTATGCAGAGCAGGGCTTTGGCAGGGGGTAGGCACCTACAGCACCCCCTCCTCTCTCTCATCCCAGGTGATGGAACCGTAAGCTTCAAAGACTTCCTGGGTGTCCTCACTGACAGCCACCGACTCGCTCAGTGCTTGGGTGAGGGGCAAGGCTGGTGGGGCAGGAGTGGACCTGGCCAGGGGGAGGCTCTTCCTTACCTGCCCCCATGTTCTCTGGCCCTAGGCAAGGTGAGGAACAGCTGGGTCTGTGATCCCCAGGGCTTGCAAACGCTCTTCTTAGAGATGCTGTTTAAGCTGATGAGTCTGGGCTTTGTGCCCTTCAAGTCGGTACAGGAGGTGATGAGGTGGGCACAACTGGACCCAGCTTCAGGGCCCAAGATGGGGGGAGCAGACTCTGCCCCTGCAGGAGTCCCCAGATGTCCCTGGCCCAGAGACGGGAGCCCTGAATTCTGGGTCAGTTTCCTGGGCCCCAACTTACCCCCAGACCAAAGTGGCTTTCTGTCCTGCTTTGGTTTCCCCACCGGTGAGATGGAGAGGACTGGGGGAGGCGCTGTCTGAGGCGGCTACCCACTTTCCTCCTTCCAGCCACTACTCCAAGAAGCAGCGGTCTCTGCGGCTGAACTCGAACTGGAAGGGCGGTCCGGCGGCCACGGCCGCACCTCGCGCTCTCAGGCGGGCCTCGCGATCTTCTGCCAGGCCGCGCACCTTAGCGGCCTTTTCAGGGCCGAGCTGGCGTGCTCGCTGCACGGACTGCACAAAGTGGGTGCGCCCCGGGCTGGGCGGGGACCTGCGGGACTGGGGACTCTCTCTCGGGACCCGCTCTCAGAACTGGCCGCTCCTTTTCCTCCTACCGGCTTCCTCGCCCCAGGTGCGCGCAGCGCCTACTCCTAGATACCTAACCTGAACGGGCGGACGCAGTCAGAATTCCACACGCGGAACCGAACCCCGCGCCCAGACGTCCGACTTCCCAAGTCCTACCAGCCCAGCCAACAAAAGCGCCGGCCCAACCGTGGGCGGCTCAGCCAAGGTGAAAGTCGAAAGAGGCAGGGCCAGCGGGCGGGGCCGGGTCATGCAGATAAGGTGCGGGCCATGTGAGGGGCGGGGCAGACAGACGGGGAGGGGCGGGGCAGGCGAAGAGTGGAAGAACTCCAAGAAATTGGGACCTGACTGGCGGAGATGCAATAAATCACTCTAGGGCGCGACTAAGGATACGGCGGGGCATAAGAAAACGAGGCCGGGGACCCAGGTAGGGGGCGGGACTGACGGAAATGGGGCGGGGCCGGCAGAAAGGTGGACTGAGGTGGAGCTAACCCTGCGTCTCTAACCCGAGCAGCAGGCTTCACCCTCTGCACGCCCCCTCCACGCTTCCGCAGGGTTCGTGGGCCAGACGCTAGGGTATACGCGCCCTTCGAAGCTGGCTCCCTCCCCCCCAACTCTAGTGCAGGAGCAGCCCTTCTCCCCCTCTCCAGCCTGTCTGCACAGACCTGCTATGAAGAACTTGTACAAGTAAAGCGTTTGTTGTGCTTGGTGGGGGCGGGCACGGAGCGGACGTAGATCTTTTGCAAACGTCTTTATTAATCTTGTATAAAAATAAGGTCCACGGAGAGTCCCCGGAGTTGGGGCGGGGTGGGGGGGGGGGGGAGGGGGCGCGAGGTTGCACTTTATAAGTTACAGGCCAGGCTCCGGCTGAGGCTAAGTACGACTACTGGGGGAAGAGGGGTGCTGCAAGCAGCATTTGGGGGGAGGGGCCAGAGATGCTGCCCCCAGTGGCCAGATGAGGGTGCCCCCGCCTATCCGAGGTGGGCGCATGGCGTGGGACCTCGGCGGAGGAGACTGCCCCGCCCAGCTGAGCTGAGGACCACCTTCCTTGAGTCCTGGCTTGCCACCCTCCCTGCCCCCCCCCCAGCTTCACCGTCCATCTGCAAAAATA